CAAGCTCCGGGGAGCTGGCAGACTACTCCTGGGGAGCAGTGGAGGGCTGGCTGCCAATGGCTTGCTGGCTCATGTTTTGGGGCCAGTGGGTCAGGGGCCCCGGTGGCCACTGCTGGCTCTGGGCTGGCAGGCTTGGAGCTGGCACAAGTCCTGTGGCCAGGGTTGACCACTTTAATGTCTCCAGGGCTGGGGGAGAGGAGAGCAAGTTTTCCTGGTTGTGCCCAGAGTGGCCACCAGGGCTCCCTGGGAAGGGCTGGAGGCCCCCTATTTAGAATTAAATGTCTACAAAGCACTAAATTCAAAATAGCTATTTCGAATTTGGTGTTACTCCTTGTAGAATGAGGCTTACCAAACTCGAAATAAGGGCTTCACTATTTTGAATTTATTTTGAAATAGCTGTTTGCCTGCATAGACGCTATTAAAGTTAATTCGAAATAACTGCTGTTATTTTGAATTAACTTTGTAGTGTAGATATACCGTTGTAGTCAACGATACAGACGTTGGTTCTGCCCCAGGATTATTAAACCGAAGTTGCTGGCATAAATGAAGCATGTATGAGCGAAAGAATGGCTTGGTCTCTATTTTGAATTGAGTAATTAGGTGCCATTTTATACCTTAGAGCAGGGGTAGGAATCTTTCTTGGGTCACGGGCAGCTGACCCACAGAAAATCAGTCAGGGTCACACACAAGACAGAAGCAATGCTCCCTCCTGCCAAAATTGGAAAACCCCCAAACCAACTCCTCATTGATATGACCCCCGACTGAGAAGGAGAAAGACACTCCTCATATTCCCCTTCCTCACCACAGCCTGGAAGGTCTGAGCTATAGCTTTTTGATATTCCGACCCCATGGGGCCATGGTAAGGGGCTGTAGCGTTCACACAGGCTTCCCAATGCTGGGGGGAGCCTCTAGCATCAGGGGCTGGATTTAGACAAGCCAAGAGTCACATCCATCTCCTGGCCCTTATTTTCCCCACCCCCACTTTCAGGGGCTAGGTGGTGATGTGAAGTTGACACATGTGGTACGTCTACACAGCAGTGTTATTTTGGAATAACTGATGTTTCAAAATAGCAAAGAACTACGTCTACACAGCAAGCCATTATGTGGCCATAATGTTGAGCTGGAGGACTTCTTACTCCGATTCCTGTCACCCTCGTTTCATGAGGCGTAAGGAGAGTGGAAGGACAAGCGCTCTTCTTTCGACTTCCTCCCATGTAGACTGTGGCCAACAGCCAAAGAAAGCTCTTCCAACTTGAACTACGCAATTGACATTGCTGAAGTTGTGTAACTTCATTTGATTTTAGCTCTGCTGTGTAGACTCAACCAGTCCACCAGACATCATACTCTTTTCAATCATTTTACAAGCACTGCAATGTTACACAATATGGATGCATTCTATCGTAAATCACTTCATTTATTTGGTTCCACTGTATTTTGACATCTACCATGTTCTTATGCTAACTTATGAAGAGCCAGCTGTTACCGGGGAACAGCCCCTTCTGCTCTTACGTATTGAGTAACGCAGGGTCCTACATCCAGGAGATAACTTTCTGTAGCTCCCAGAGAATCAAGGAAACATGTTTGTAACATGCAGCCCCTATGAGAAATTGCTCTGTCCCCAGCCAAATGACTGTCCAGTCCTGGACGTGCCAGAAGAGCACGCTCAGTTGTGCAACATGAATCTCCATGGGCACCAGCCTGCTCAAGTGCCCCACCGCCAAATATCAAGCAGGCCATGCCTGTGAGGGACTCACTGGCTGTTCTGTCTTGGAGCCTGGATCACCTGTTGGGAGGCCTGGTTTCTCCACCCTGCTTTGAAACCCTGATTCCCCGATAACCTCAAGGTGCTTTGGGCTACTTCTGCATGATGAAAAAGAGCAGGAGCAAATGGTCCATCTAAATGGGGATTAGTTAGATTGGAAGGGCTGTGGGGCAGGGACTGGCTCTTGGGTCTCTCTTTGCACAGGGCCTACGGCCATAATGCACAAGGTTATTAGGCTCGTGATCCTAGTAGCTGAGTAGCCCTGCCGGAGAAGTGGGAAGCACCTACAATGCACTCTTGAACATGCCTTCTTTACTTGTACCTATCAAAGGGTCAGGTTAGCTGTGTTACCGCATCACACTATTATAGCAACACTATCTGGCATTGCTACTGTCCTCCAGGGCAAGGGGTTCAGGAGGTGGTAGTCCTGGACAGCAACACACAGCAAATCTGTCAGGATTCTGCCCCAGTGAATCCTGAATTTACTGTCAGTGATGATAAGCCTTTGGCAACATATGAAAATGCAGTTTCGGTATCTCATGCCAGCTCGATGCAGGGAGCCAGCAGAATAGACTTCATGAGAGTCCCCAAAGACCACAGAGTCGGATAAGATAAGATGGCATCCAAACTAGGCTTATTGTTGAACAAAGGACATTAATAGGTTTCGCTAGCCAGATGGCTTCTGAGCCGCTATGTATTTGTATCCAGGACAATGGACCCAGATCTGTTAAAGGCCAAAGAGTTAAGTGAGGTACCCCAACATTTAAAGACAGAAATGAACAATTTGTGATACACACAAACATATCACACGTTTGGCACCTCCCCTTGGACTTTCCTCCAAAGCATTCACTGCTCATTGTTCTGCTTTCCCTCTTGTTGTTTTAAACTGTTTTTATTATGTACTTTGCTGGGGGTCCCTGTACTGTCCTGATAGCAGGTATTTCCACACTTCATGGGCAGCTAGCAGTGCCAGTTGATCTAGTGCTGAGAGACACGGACTTTCAGGCAAATATCTGCTATGAACACGGCCTATTACTCAGGGTATAACTCCTGCGGATTTTGGTTCGAGCAACAGGCCACGCTTCCAGCTCTCTGTGTCGCCTACAGGACATGGCATGAGTGGAGAATGAATGTTGTTGGAATCCGTGGGAGTTGAGAAGACATAGAACATTTCAAATATGTTAAACCCTGAAGAATTTGGGCAGTAAAGTTTACGTGCGGATAAATGAAATAGAGGAAAAAAAGAGATCAATTTGGTTAAAAATAATCATACGGTATCAAGGTGTGCATAAAGAGATGTGTATTAAATGTATAAAAGATGAATACTCCAAAAGTAGCAGAAAGCAAGAATGCAAGCAAGCAAGAACTGGAACATGTCTTAGGGTATGTTTATACTGCACGGATATTTTAGGATACCAGATATATCCCGAAATAGCTACCCTGCATCTACTCAAAATTTTCAAAATAATGGGCACCCTGTTTCACCATCTCAGTAAACCTCATTGCATGAGAGATGAAGCATTGCTTGAAATAGCAAGTTATTACAAAAGTTGGTGGTGCGTAGACGAGCCAAATTTCAAAATAAGTTCATTGGAGACAGATTTGAAATAAGATACACAATTTGCATAGTGCAACTTGCGTAGCTCATTTCAAGTTTAGGGTGTTGTGTACATGCACCCCACATATCTCAGTTCATGTCTATTACATTTTAGGCTAAAATTTATGCTTTCAGATTCTATTCCTGTGTCTGACAGCAAGCAGTGTACGAATAGCTTTTTTCAGTGACTCGTTGACCTCCTTGTTTCTCAGGCAGTAGATGATGGGGTTAATCATGGGAGTCAGGACCGTGCAGAAGACAGAAAATACCTTTTGTGATTCATTGGGAGTGTTGACTATTGGAACCACATAGACAGCAAACACAATTCCATAGTAAAGTGTCACCACCAAGAGGTGGGAGGAGCAGGTCGAAAAGGCCTTTTTCCTCCCGATACTGGAAGGGATTCTCAGGATGGTGGCGATGATACAAACGTAGGAAGCCAGAGTCATTACACAAGGTATAAGTGTCACGATGGCAGCATCAATAAATGCCACTAGTTGCAAAATCTGGGTGCTGCTACAAGAGAGCGGTAGCATGGGTGCGAAATCACAGAAGAAATGGTCAATTTCTTTTGAATCACAGAATGTTAATTGGAACAAGAAAATTTGTACTAGGGCACAGCCCAGAAGGCTACCTATCCAGGATGCTGACACAAGTTGGATACACACCCTGCCGTTCATCAGAGCAGCGTAGCGGAGGGGGTGGCAGATGGCTAGATACCGATCGTATGACATGGCCGTGAGGATCATATTTTCAATAGTTGACAGGATACTAAAGAAATATAATTGAACCAGGCAGCCCTTAACGGAGATGGCTCTGTCCCCAGTCAGGAGGCTGGCCAGCAGCCTGGGCAGAATAGTGCAGGTGTAGGAAGTCTCCAAGAAGGCCAAGTTTCCCAAGAAGAAGTACATGGGGGTGTGGAGGTGCCGATCAGCCACCACTAGCGCCATAATGAGGATGTTCCCTGTCAAAGTCACAAAGTAGATGACGAGGAACACCAAGAAGAGAAGGGGCTGGAGTTCTGGGCCTTCCCCAAATCCTAAGAGGATGAATTCTGTGATGAGTGTCTGGTTTCTTCCTTCCACTTTCTCCATCAAATGTCTCTAGAAAAAGAAGAACATTAAATATTGAGGAGCGCACAGTTGGGATGAGTGGTCAGTTTCATTGGTAGAATTTTGGGGTAGGTAACCTGCATCTCTCCACTGGAAAAATGAAATTGTTAATATACTGAGGAAGACTAAAAATAACTCTATAGACAGACTTGGAGGCGTAGTTGTGTTAGTCTGTAACTAAAAACTGGAAAGGTGTAACGCAAAACCAGCCTCGCCTACGTTTAGCAGCTCATTTTTACATCAAAAGCTAAGGATGGGACATTTTCAGTCCAATTAATTAGCCTCCTTATCAAAGTTGAGAGGTACCTTCCCCCCCTTTCATTTTCTCTTGTAAATTCGGAGTTTGTGTTATCCCTCTCCAGCGCATCTGAGGAAGTGGATTTTGCCCACAAAAGTTCATGATACTATAGATGTGTTAGAGACTAACAAAGGCGCTATAGGACTTCTCGGGTACGTCTAGACTACAGGGTTTTGTCGACAGAAGTTTTGTCGACAGATACTGTCAACAAAGTGTCTGTCGACAAAGAGCGTCTAGACTACATTCAGTTCTGTCGACAAAGCAAGCCGCTTTGTCGACATAACAGTGTGGATGCAAAGGACAGTGTAGATGCAATAATGCCTTCTATTGACAGGACAATGTAGCACTTTAAAGACTAACAAGATGGTTTATTAGATGATGAGCTTTCGTGGGCCAGACCCACTTCCTCAGATCAAATAGTGGAAGACTACTTTCTTCCACTATTTGATCTGAGGAAGTGGGTCTGGCCCACGAAAGCTCATCATCTAATAAACCATCTTGTTAGTCTTTAAAGTGCTACATTGTC